AGAGTGAACCAGGAAGGGTAGGTTTGAGACATATTATGAAGTCCAAATAATCAGGATGTGGTGATGAAATGGATATAGTTGGCCAATGCATGGCAGAAATCAGCCGATTCTAAAGATTCTGACATGGGTTATAGAGAAGTTGTATGTTTAACAAAAAAGAATCTGGAGAGGCACTTTGATTTTCATGGGAATGTGTTGAATTCAATTTGAGACACATTGAGTCTGTGATGTTAAAATACCTAAATGAAAAAAAAAAAAAAAAAACAGCAATCAAGTGACTTTACAAAATTGGAGCCCAGGAGAAGGTCGGGGCTACACACGTTGTGGTTTTATTGAAAGATAGGAGAGTGAGGCCGGGCACGGTGGCTCACGCCTGTAATCCCAGCACTTTGGGAGGCCGAGACGGATGGATCCCAGGGTCAGGAGATCGAGACTATCCTGGCTAATACAGTGAAACCCCGTCTCTACTAAAATATAAAAAAATTAGCCGGGCGTGGTAGTGGGTGCCTGTGGTCCCAGCTACTCCGGAGGCTGAGGCAGGAGAATGGCATGAACCCAGGAGGCGGAGCTCGTAGTGAGCCGAGATCGCGCCACTGCACTCCAGCCTGGGCGATAGTGAGACTCCGTCTCCAAAAAAAAAAAAACAAAAAACGATAGGAGAGTGAACACAGAAGGCAAGGGTCTACACTTTGGGTAAGGCTCATTGTGTTGGGGGGAAAGGGAGATGTTGCTTCCTCTTCATCTCTACTGTCACAGCCCTTGTTCAGGCCCTCATCTCACCTGGGCTTCTTTACATGTTTTCTGTCAAAATCATCAAGCTGTCATAGGGATCAATCCAAAATACACCTCGTACACAGCAGAGTCTTGGCACATTAGCATGGCACGTGAGACTCTCCGTGACCCTTGTCTACCTCTGGAGCTTCATCACCAGCCATGCAGCAACACTCATGGTAATAGCAAATAAACTAATCTTTAGTGAGCACATTCTGTGTGCCAGGCATCATGCCTATGTACATTATCTTAATCCTTACATCACCTGACAAGTTCTATATTGTATGAAGAAATTGAGTTTACCCAGGTTGCACAGCCACTATTCAATGGTAAATCTGAATTTTTTTTTTTGAAATGGAGTCTCGCTCTGTCATCCAGACTGGAGTGCAGTGACGTGATCTCAGCTCACTGCAAGCTCTGCCTCCTGGGAAGGTTCATGCCATTCTCCTGCCTCAGCCTCCCAAGTTGCTGGGACTACAGGTGCCCGCCACCACGTCCAACTGATTTTTTGTATTTTTAGTAGAGACGGGGTTTCACCATGTATCCAGGATGGTCTCGGTCTCCTGACCTCGTGATCCGCCTCCCTCGGCCTCCCAAAGTTCTGGGATTATAGGCATGAGCCACCGTGCCCAGCCTAAATCTGAAATTTAACCCTAATTTCTCTAGGTACAAGACTGGGCTCCTAATCGGTCTGCTGTGTTGAACTTCTCCTAGGTACTCCAGCATTTCATCAAAATTCTGCCTCCTGTGCATTTGTGCTTCCTCTGTCTGGAGTGCTTGTCCCTCCTACCCTTTACCCTTACATCTAGCCCTGCTCAGCCTTTAAGCTTCCCTTAAAGAGTACTTGAGGAAAATCGTCCTTGCCCTTTTCTGTCTCCCTACCTGGGTTCAGAGCCCATTCTCTGGACTCCCATAATCCTTTGCACAACTCTGTCGTCCTCCTGCACATGTGATTATAATTAACCAGGTTCTCTTACCTCAGTCCTTCTAGTGGATTAGGGGTTGGCAGACATTTTCCGCAGAGTAAGACAGTGAACATTCTATGCTTTGTGGGCTATGGGGTCTCTGTTGCAACTACCCAGCTCTGCTGTTGTGTAGAAGCAGCCATAGCAATACTTAGGCAAATGGGTGTAGCTGTATTCCAATAAAGCTTTGTTTATGGACACTGAAATTTGACTTTCATATAATTTTCACCTGCCACAAGTACTCTTCTTTTAACTTACTTTCCCGATTATTAAGGAGATGTAAAAAGACACTGGCTTGTGTGTCTTAAAAACAGGTGCAGACTGGATTTGACCCATTAGCTGTAGTTTGCCAACACCTGCATACTGCATAGAGTAAGAACTTCTTGAAAGCAGGTTCCGAATCTCACTGACTTTTGTATCCCCATTGTATGGTGTGTAGTAGACTCTAAGGAAATTGTATGGACTGAATAATGAGCCTAAAGAGGAGCATTGAGAGAATGTAGAATTAGGAGAACCCCTTTTAAGTAGTGTGTTCAAGTCAAGGCAGGACTGTTTTCAAAAGGAGGGGAACATTCTAGGCATTTATCCTGTAACGATAATTGCACACATATGCAGATACATGTTTAGGGATGTTTGTCATATAGAATGATGAACAATAACCTACCTGTTCATCTCTACGGGATTGGTTTTATGGTATATCCATTAAGTGGAATATGCTGCAGTCGATAAAAACTGCAGCTGCCACAGTTGCTTCCAACAGAAACCAATTCAAAAAAGCCACCTGTAGAGTGAACACTGCCATTTCCTAATCTGGGGTCTTCTCATGCAGCCATGGCCTCAGGCAATGCAGGTGAGGCAGTGCAGACTCCTGACATTTAGTTTCTTACTCTGACTACAGCCACACACACAGGAACCCAGGTGCAGCAGTGCCCAGGAAGCTCTGAAAACTCAGGCTTGGTATACAGCTCCTTTTGCAATGCATGTAAAATGCTTAACATGTATAGCCCATTCTTCGTAAAGGTTAGCCATCAAGAGAAGAATATCTTTTATTCTTATAATTATAGATAATATATGCTCTCTTAATGCTGTGGGGATAGTGGTGGTTATCATTATTGGTATGCAGTTTTCTTTTAAAGGTCTGAGAATCACAGGTAGCTGACCATTGGTTAAATGAGCTGTAACTGGATGGTCAGTATGACCCAAGTGTGAGGGACTAGGGCTAGTAGATACTTAATACGAATGACAGGGAATCCTCACTGTGCGTAACACTCAGAGTGTTGTGAGTGAAGTGACTATAGTAATGTGAAAGGAATGAGAAAGAAAAAAGTAAATAATCGTACTGGAAAATGTCATTGTGTTTAGGAATATCAAGACATTGTAAAAAAATTAAAAGTAGATAGTCTGTAGTATAGGATACAGGGAAAGGAAACGTATGTCAAAATTTTTTTGAAAATTAAAGGGAACACAACTTACCAGATGTCCCAAACTTACAGGGATAAATTCTACATTTCTCAAATAGTTCAGAATAAATTTTCTTTCATTTTTAACCTATACTTCTTAGCAAATCATACTAGATGACTTGTAAAAGTACAATAAAATAGAATGTTACTTATTCGTCTTTTTAGCACTAGTGTTTATTTTTTTCTAACATTTATAGAACACATATCGAGTACAACACACTCTACAAAGAGCTATGATTCATACAGACATTAGTAAGACATGATTCCTGTCACTCAAATCTAGTCAGACCAGGAATTTCTGAAATCTGTTGTTTATGTTTCTCTTGAAAAAAAAGTTTCAGCCGGGCACGGTGGCTCATGCCTGTAATCCCAGCACTTTGGGAGGCTGAGGTGGGTGGATCACAAGGTCAGGAGTTTGAGACCAGCTTGACCAACATGGTGAAACCGCATCTCTACTAAAAATACAAAAATTAGCCGGGAGTGGTGATGCACACTTGTAATCCCAGCTACTCGGGAGGCTGAGGCAGGAGAATCGCTTGAACCCAGGAGGCGGAGGTTGCAGTGAGCCAAGATCGTGCCACTGCACTCCATCCTGAGTGACAGAGCAAAACTCCGTCTCAAAAAAAAAAAGTTTCATGGTCAAATAAATTTGGGGAACACTGCCTAAAGTAAGGTTAATTAGGTTTCTTCACTTTGGGATTTCTCAGAGATTTTATTGTACTAAAATGGTTTGACCATAGAGTCAGTCATTCTTCCTGGAGCAACTCCAGGGACAGTAAGGGAACATAGCTGGGGAAATACTGACTTCAGCCTTCCATTGAATTATTGTTTCATCTGTTGATTTGGTTCTAGCCCATTGAGTCAAAGATATTCTTAAATAATAACCTGATCAGCACATTTTTTGAGTATTCTGTTTTAGCAAAAAAGGAGACAAGTAAGAGACATTAATAACAAATTTAAGAACATACTGTACAGTTTGTCCAGGCTTTGGAAAATTAGTTTTGATAATCCCTTGGGCCTTGTCTTTTAACAGGTAAACAATTAAAACTGTACTTCATTATTAGGATGACCATACCAATCTATTGTCCAAGCTAGGATGCTTTCAGAATGAAAGAGGTTTCTGTTAATGATGCTGGCACCAAGATGTGAATTAGAACTATCCTGGGCAGAATAGGATGGTTACCTTCATCACAGTATATCCTCAATTTCATCTGAGATCTTAATTATGTCAGCCCTGGTTCTTGACATCAGTAGTCCATTCCCCAGGGTCAGTTGATTCTTGGTTGATTCACAGGCTTTGGGTTGTGTGAAAGATTCTGAAATTATTTACAGCACTAATGCTTCAAACCTGAAACTATACAAGTGACCCTTGAGTGACACGGGTTTGAACTGTGTGGGTCTACTTATACATGGATTTATTTCAATCAGCGTAGACTGCAGGATGTGAAACTTGAATATAGAGAGCGGCCACCTTTTCTCATAGGCGGGTTCTGGAGGGCCTACTGCGGGAGTTGAGTGTGTGTGGATTTGGTTATCCACACATGGGGGATCCTAGAGCCAATCGTCTGCATATGTCAAGGGACATACCACTTGTATGTTTAACAAGTGATTTTCAAAGTGTATAAAAGTAGATATTCCTGGCACCTAGTGCAAATTGTTTTCTTTTTTAATTTTTCTTCAAGAAGTGCCAGAGTATTGATTTATACTATCAAAATTAAAATGAAGTTTACTATAGAAAAAATGTTCAGTACTAAAGCAGAAGAAAGGAATTGTTTTATAGTTAATGTTGTCTGTCTTTTTACAGTTTTTTGAGGTGCCATTTGACTCAAACATGAATAGGACAAAGAACAGACCGCTGGTTCGTGGACAGATCAGGTAAAATCATGAATACAAGTGTCTTCCACATTATAAAGCATTCATTTGCTTGTTCATCTGAGTCATTTCCCACTATTTTGCTTTGAGCTGTGAAGTGAAAATAAAATACCCACAAAGGAACAAATTGATATGGAAATGCAGTACTTTCCACCTCTAACCAAAATGTTTTATAAAGCACTTGAGATGGATGTAAGAATGGCGGAGGTTTTTTTATGGTAGTAACTTATGTGATAGATTTTTTTTGTTAATTCTACTTTGAGACATAGACTTTCATTTGTAGTGGCTGAAGATGAAAACATTGCATTAACGCAAATGATTTTCAGACAAATCCATCTAGGGTCTCAGAAGAAGGATGTCTGAAATCTAACTTTTTCAGATAAACTGATAATGCTGTTGTATGCCAAGTAAAGCACTGCCTCCATCACTGTCCACCAATTTCAATTAAGTAGAACTAAAAGGCATATAAATATTTTAATATCACTAATGGTTAATAATTAAACATTTTACTTCCTGGAGACCTCTAAACCGGCATTTAAAAACTTTTTTTTAACCTAATATATATTACAAGCCTAGAAGAATAAAAAGGGCCAAATGGTTTATACTGACTGTGATAAATCACTGGATTCTATCTTCACGTTTCTAGGCAATGCCCTCATGGAGCTTAAAATTTATTGTGGTAACACTTGTGAATCAAATGATCACACATATTTAGGTAAAACAATAAAGGAAGCAAATGTATATCCAGTCAGATTAATCTATGCAAAAATGATCTTTAATATTATCTGGTTTTAGACATTTCTCAATGAATTTATTAAAAAGGGCACTAGAACCAGATGAAAAGATGTAAGAACAAAAAACTCACATCTACTGATATTTTATTTCTTTTTTCTGAAATACAAACAAAGGTATATGCTGTGTTTGAGGTTTAGAAACTGTCAAAAGTACTTTTATTTGGGTAGATCTGTTTTAGAGGGGAAAATGCAAAGTCTGTAACCTATCTCAAGAGCTAAAAGCTGCTGTTGCCCCTGGTAATGCTTTGGAATTTCTGTTCAGTCGTTTTTCCTCAGTGAAATTATACCCTCCTTTAGAACCAGGGAAGCGTAGGAATAGGCCCAGCAAGTAGTCTTTAAGCATAATCAGATAAAGGCTTATCATTTTAAACAGCCCATCTTTACTTTGTCCAGCCCATCTTACTTTGTGGTGGAAGCACAACCTGTTAGTACTCAGGAGGGAGCACTGGGGCCTTGGCTGTTGTAATTGGCAACACTCTCCTTTTAAAGGGGGTTTGGATCATGATCCCAAAAGACACAGTCCCAAATATTGAAGTCCCAAAAGATCAAAATTCCTAAAGTCTCGAATCCCTAATGTCCAAAGTCCCGCAAATACCAGTCACAGGATAGTAAAATCATGTTAGGTGGAACTATCACTTTATTTTTATCTTTATTTAAAGCTTAAGTATGGTTTAAGGAGATGCATATGGATGCCAGGTTGACAAGGGGTGAACTTGTGGACTTAATTATAGGTGTCAACTTGACTAGATTGAAGAATACCTAGAAACCAGGGAAAGCATTATTTTGGGTGTGTCTGTGAGGGTATTTCCAGAGGAGAATAGTGTGTGAATCTGAGTAGATAGGGAAGATTTGCCCTCAGTGTTGGTGGGTAACATCCGGTTGGCTGGAGGCTGGAAGAGAACAGATAAAGAGAGCGAATTGGTGTCTCTGTAAGAGCTGGGACAGACTTATCTTCCGCTGCCTTAGACATCAGAACACCAGGCTTGCTGGCCTTTGGACTCTAGGACATACACCAGGAGCCCCCTGGGTCCTGAGGCTTTCATCCTGAGCTGAAAAGCTCCTAGGGTCATTGACATCCTAGGGTCTTCAGTTTGCGGATGGCCTGTCGTGGGACTTCTCAGCCACCATAATTGCATGAGCCAATTCCCCTTAACAAATCCCCTCTCATATATCTATATATACATCCTATTGGTTCTGTATCCCTGTAGAACTCTGACTAATACAGATTTGCCACTGGGGAAGCCAAAGATTATTCTTTCTTACTGTATTTCTTACAACACAATGGAAGAGATCTGTGATATTGTTCCCTCTAAAAAAGACTGTGTTAAGTTAAGTGTATGAAGCTACCTAATGGTGAAAGATAAACATTTTCAAGCTAATTATTATTGGTGCTTTGAAAGCAGAAAATTGCTTAATTGCAACAGCTGGCAATAACCAGACTTTCAAATGGATAGCATATACTTATAAAATTTGTAGACCACAACCACTTTCGGAATACAAGTGTAGTGAGTGTTTCGAAGATCATAGAAGTGAAAATACTGGCAAAAAATACAAGAAATCTTCCCTGTCAAATTCTGTCATGTACAACTTCTGCCCCTTCACACCTAACACCATGTTTGCCTTCAAAAAATGCCCTTCATCAGAGAATAAAAGGAATTCAACAAGCCCAGGGACCTTCTGAACCAAAGACACTTGCCGATATTGAAGTTCCTCTAGTGTCACAAAAAACCATTAAATGGTGACCTATTCTTAATTAGTGATTTGACTGTCAAAGAAGACAGACTTCTTATATTTACCACTCAGTCTAATGTAGAAAAATGAGCACATGCTTCACATTGGCTAATGGATGGCACTTTCAAAACTATCCCCACTTTTTTTTTTAATCAACTATATAGAATATGCACCTGTTGGATCCACAAATTCTAGAAATCATTCCCTCCTTTATGTATTAATGACTGGAAAATGTGAAGCAGTTTATAAACACTTATTAGAAGATTTGGAAGACTTTGCAAAAGAAAATGGATTGTAATCAGATCCTCAAACACAGATACAGAGTTAGGTGCAATCAAGGCATCTAAAGTGAATTTCAAGATGTTACCAATAAAGTGTATTTTTTCCATTCAGCCCAATGCATTCGGCGGAAAATTCAGATGAGCGGGTTGGCTACACGATTTGGCAACACTGAAAACCAAAAACCTCACTTTAAAAATACATTATTTGCCTGCATTGGCATTCCTTCCAACTTATGACATTCCAGGAGCTTTTAATAAATTAAAGCTGCATTTGCCTGAAGAAACCAGTAAAGTTACTGACTGGTTTGAAAATAATTATGTGCGTGTTAGGATAAGATGACACGAAATGGTGCTGCTCTTCGATCACCAGTATTGTTTCCACCAAATTTATGTTCTGTATATGGGTGCATGTGGAATGGATTTCCTTTTACCCAAAATAACATAGAAGCATGGCATAAGATGGGAAAATTTATTTATTTATTTATCTATTTAGAGACAGAGTCTCACTCTCTTGCCCAGGCTGGAGTGCAGTGGCGTGATCTTGGCTCACTGCAACCTCCACCTCCCAGGTTCAAGTGATTCCCCTCCCTCGGCCTCCTAAGTAGTTGGGACTACAGGTGTGTGCCACCACACCTGGCTAATTTTTTGGTATTTTTGTAGAGATGGGGTTTTGCCATGTTGTCCAGGCTGATCTTGAACTCCTGACCTCAAGTGATCCGCCTGGCTTGGGCTCCCAAAGTGCTGGGATTACAGGCATGAGCCACTATGCCCAGCCGGGAAAATTTAATAAGGCATGCTCATGTCAGTTTATATCAAATCTTAGAAGAGTTTCAAAAAGATCAGAACCACATTGAAAATGAATGTGAATGTATTCTCCAAGGACAGCCGTGTCTTAAAAGAAAAAAAGCAGCTATTCATCGTGATGCAAGAAATCAAGATATGGGTAATGATTATGAAAGTTGGCCTGCTCTAATGGACTGTCTCTGTTCAATTGCTCATAATCTATCCCTGTAATACTCTTTCATTTGTCTAATTTTCTTTTTTAGTTTTTTTCTTTCTCTTCAGTTTTTTTCACCATTTTAAATTGTCGGCATTGTTTTTACAATTCACTATGCTATGTATTTCATCTTCACATCATTTCCAATTCCGGAGGTGTAGATTGTGTAAGGCTTTTTAGAGTTCTAATTCAATTTGTGTGTTTTTTGCAAACCTGACTCCACAAAGTGCATTATCACAAATTTGACTTTGTGTATTAGCATTGTGCATGGATGTAAAAACACTGACAGTTCCTCAACAAATGGAAAGATGTCCTTTTTATCCATCTGTGTTTGTGAAAGATAGAAGTTCTCAAGATCTTGGCTCTGGGGACTGCGTATGTGGTGGTGGTGACCCATCATGGTTTCTGAGCAGTCTTGTGAAAAGACTTAGGTTGTTTGTCATGGCATTTCAGAGGAACACAGTTTTACCGCTGGCTGCACACCATCACCATTCATAGTGATACAGATTTATACATTTCCTTTGTTTGACCTCTTTCTTTATGAATGAGGTTTGTCTGCTTTTAACTGTTATGCCCATGTGACTGTCATTAGTATCCCTGAGTATTTATGCTTGCACAAATGAATGTTATTATTGCCTATTTTATTGTGTAAAGTGGCTTATAAAGTGTTCTATCATGTTTTTGTATGTTTCTCAAATTCCCTTTCAAAAATATACAGAGATATCTTTTAAAGAATTTTTAAATTATTTTTTCCAGAATTATATTTTCAGGATTTTGATCTTTTGGAATTTTAGACTTTAAGGATTTTGATTTTTCAAGATTTCAACATTTGGGATTATGGCGTTCTGTTGAGGAAAATAAACAACGGGTTTCTAAGGCATCCCTTTGTGCAAGCCATAGACAACATGGCAAAGAATAGATCCCAGTGAGAACCATTTAGAGTATGTGGCCTTGAAGCAAGTGAGGAACAAGAAGCCATTGGCCAGACATTATAGCCCAAAGATGTATCTCTAGCTATTCAGCTAGATCCAGAGATTAAATTGAGTCAGTGAAAGAAAGAAGAGAAGGTGTCATTGTTACGTGTATATCAGGTGATTAGGATCAAAGAGGTCACGCAGGGAAAGTGTTCTCCCACATAGCGTGATTGTAAAATGGGCTGAAGGTCAAATGGGTTTGCCCAGGACAGTCCTGGTTTGCCCC